GCTTACTTTTTAATTAAAGCAAATAGACCTGTGTTTGAACAAGGAGGGTTGTCAAGACTTGCTGTAATCTAGCCCTGCCCAGGCTGAAATAGAAACAACATAAAATAATCTTCTTGTTTTCCTTGTGACTTAACTGCTCTGTAGTACTGTCAAGGTGTTGCGTCTTCTCATAAACTCTGGGGCACTGACCAGCTTATTTTGTTGCATCTAAACTCCCAGTGTTTGTTATGCATTCAGTTCTGTCATTAACATGCTGGCAGAAATGAGTAGCACAGCCATTCAGACAAGGAAGACACCAAGAACCCGAGGCAGAGGGGATGGTCCCTTGGTATGGCAAATACTTGATATGTTGTTGTTCTCTCTGTGGAAAAGGTGGCTTTTCTTCCTTCTCCTCCATGGCTTCAATTCTCTCTCCCCGTTTTTAATGTAAGCTTTAGTATAGAAACGGGGGGAATTTTCTCCTGAAAAACAAAACAAAAGCTTTTGTTATGTAAAATTTTTCCCCGTGCCCTGCCAAAATGTAGCAGATTGTTGGAAGTTTTTCACATAACACAGCAACCACCCTCCGGTTCCCATCCCAGAAGAGCTCTTGTATTCCAGGTATGTGTCGTAATCACATGGTTCTTCTGTGCTTGTCATTTCTCTTGCTAGGATCTGCCACCCTGAAGCTGAGGAGCTTTTCCTGTGAGCAGTGCCCGTGAAAGAACTGTATCCCTGGGAACACTTTTCATTCTCATGAATCTGTTTTCTTCCAGTTCTTGTCTAGCTCTACCTTGAGATGAGATAGCTGCTATACGGAATAACTTCTGTTACAGTAAGGAAACACTCTAACCTGCTGCTACGTTAACCTTCTACTACCGGGCATTTTTAGCCAAGGTGATACTTAGCTGTGATATGCTCGGGGTTTCAGCGGGGAACGCATTATACTAAGGTCCTTTAAAATAAGTTCCCTCCAGGCTAGCCCCTGGCCTGGGGATTTAAAATCACGAATACCAATGCTGGAACAAGTAGACTGAGAAGATAAGAGCTTTGGGGTGCACTGAGGCAGTCATGTTGTACATATAAAAAATGATTTATGGCTCGTTGCTGGCAGCCTAATGTAAGCAGTCACAGGCCAGGTATACCCCACGGCAGAGCCAAGCTCTGAGGAACAACATGGGGCAGATGCAGGGCAGCTCGCTGGGCTTTTTGTTAGCGGTTCTCCAAAGCACAAGGGCAAATGGCAGGCTGAAGACAAGGAGTGCTAGTAAAGTGAAAGGTGGTGGTTCTTGTAAATAAGAGCAGTTACTGTGATGTGGAATCAAGACACAAAATGTTGAGCATACTGAAACTTCATATCATTTGTATTATTGCGAGGAATAAGTAGGGTCTGTAGCTATGGCATGCTCGAAGCAGTGAACAATATTTTGAACAGACTGGAGGGGGAACTAGTCCGCTTTGTATGAAAGCATAGTTCTTGTCCTCATTAGGATGCCAGCCCTAGGGTTGATGCATTGCACTAGTAAAACTAAACCACACTATAGCTTGCTGCAAGCTCGGCTTCATTCTGACGCAGCACAGAGGAATGGCTTGTTCTGGTACAAAAAACCCAAGGATAGCACATTATTAGATTGCAGTGGTGCAAAAATCTTTCATGTAGACCCCATGAATTTTCAGGCATGATCATGTTGTCCAAACTTTTTTTTAAAAGTTCCAGAGCTTTTTTTTTTTTACTTTATGGATGTTGCTATGGCTTGTTCACAGCACTAGCTTTTAAATTGCTGGCCCTTCAGATTCCAAAAATGACTTCTATATGTCATTTTGAATTGCTAGTACAGAGTGTTCAGTGAAGCCAGTTTCACAGGTTCAATGCCTGTGAGTCAACCAAAAATCATGGCAAGGACTTTAATCCTGAGACTTTTTTTTCATCCCATATGTTGGTTTGGGTTTTCATTTTCGAGTCTTGACATTTCAGCTTTTCCAGCTTATACTTGGAATGTTAGCTGCTGAAAACCTCTTCATTTTAATTAAAGGAAAGCTGAGAATCCCACAATCCTAAAATGTGATGATTGGAAAAAAAAAAAAAAATTGCAAGATGAACGATGAAAATGGAATTGGTAACTGTATTTAGTTTAGCACTAAACCTAGCAGAAGTGTGAACTATGGCTCCATTTCCGTTGTATGGGTATTTGCCTGCTGTTAGTATTATCACCAGAGACAGAAACTGGTTCAAGTACAAGATGGGTGGGTAGAGTGGGAATGTAACCAAGCAGCTGCGCCCATTGCATTAGAAGTAATTTTATTTTAATCTGATCTTGTCAGTATTGTCCTAATTATATTTTATAGAATCATAGAATCGTTTAGGTTGGAAAAGACCTTTAAGATCATCAAGTCCAACTGTTAAGCTAGCATTGCAAGTCCACCACTAAACCATGTCCCTAAGCACCACATCTACCTGTCTTTTAAATACCTCCAGGGATGGTGACTCAACCACTTCCCTGGGCAGCCTGTTCCAATGTTTAACCACTCTTTCAGTAAAGACATTTTTCCTCACGTCCAATCTAAACC